ATGAAAACTAAAGTCAAAGGAATAAAATTTGTGGTAACCCGAAAGGGGCAGGAAATAATACTTTTAATTTTTAATTGATTATTTTTTAACAAAACCTTGGAAGCCAGAATATAAGGTGTGAAAGAAAATAACCATTAACCAAGAAATATGGAAACTCACAATACACACAGCAAAAACATCCTTCAAAAATAGAGGAGAAATATTTTGTCAGACTAACAAAAACAGAGAACACATTCTCAGAAGAATTTTGCTAAAAGAATAACTAAAGAAGAGTTCTTCAGGAAGAAGGAAAATAATTCCAAATAAAAGCATAACAATTCAGGGAGGAATAAAAACAGGAAGAGTAAATGAATGAGTAAATTTAAGTATATGCAATAATAATAACACTGTCTTGTGTGGTCCAAAGGATGTGTAGAATTAAAATACATAAAAACAATAATATAAGTGGAATTACAATGCTCCAAAAGCCAAGCATTGCTAGGAAAATGATTAAATTAGTCACGTATATTTACTATGAGAAGCCCAGAGAATATGTAATAATCCCAAGAGTAATCACTAAATAAAAAATAAAAAGATGTATAACCAGAAAAGCCAATAGTGAGGAAAATGGAACAAAAAATTTTTGATTACTCCAAAAGAAAGCAGAAAGATAAGCAAAAGTGTTTAAGAAACAGGCTAGTTAAATACAAAACAAATAAAATAGATAAAACTTAAATATGTAAATAATTGTATTAAATATAATAGACTAAATATACCAATTGGAAAACCTAGACTAGATTTTTTTTAAAGCCTATAAAAGACAGATCCTAAATGTAAAATAAAAAAATAGATGGAAAGTAAAAGGAAGGGTAAAAATATTCTATGCAAATGTTAACCAAAAGAAAACTGATTTAGCTATATTAATATTAGATAAAGTAGATTTTAAGGCAAGAAACTTTAGTAGAGACAAAGGGGAATATGACATAGTAATCAGAGTCAATTCTCAATAAATGGTATAACAATTTTAAATCTATGTATATCCATAACACAGCTCAAAATATATAAAGCAAATTAGACAAAAACAGACAAATCTATAATCATAGCAGGAGACATTAGCTCTAACTGACACATATAAAACATGGTATCTGATAAGACAGAATGTATAAGTTTTCAAGTGTACATGCATTATTTACCAAAATTGACCTGGATCATAAATTGGCTTCTAAAATAAGCCTCAACAAATTTCACAAGATTTCAACTCATTCAGAATGTATTTTCTGACTGTAGTGGAATCAAGATAGATATCGAAAACAAGAGGATAATTTAAACTGTCTTTAAATGTTTGAAAATCAATCAATACACTTACGAATAGCCCATGGGTCAAAGAAGATATCACAATGGAAATTAGAAAGAATGTTAAACTGGATTATAATGCAAATGCAATATACCAAAACTAATAGGATCCTGCAGTTGAGCAGAAGAAATGAAACAACACAGCATAACTATGCTACGAGATAGAAAATAATGAATGTTTTCCATCAAATAACAAATAGACTACTACTGAGGTTGAGAGGTTGGGACAATCATGTGTATCCAGGTGGTGAATCAGAAGAGGTCTCATAAAAGTAGTAATATTCTAATGGGATCTTAAAGGACAAATATGATGAAAATAGAGAGCTTTAGAAGAGGGGAAAAAATAAAACAACTAATAGGTTGCAGTTAAAGTTGTAATTAGAGGAAATTAATAAAAAAAAACAGTATCTTAAATACATATATTATAAAAAGAATGAAATGTAAAGTATCCATCTCAAGAAATTAGAAAGAGCAAAGCAAATTAAACCTAAAGAAAGTAGAAAGAAAGATATTTTAAAAAAGAGATTTGAGGTTTGGAAGGCTCAGTATGGTAGATGGCAACTCTCCTTAAACCGATCTATAGATGCAATAAAATCCTGATTAAGATCTCAACAGAACTCTCTTGGCCATGGCCAGTGGCAGGGATGAGCTTAGATAGGGGCCAGGTTGGATAATCTTGTTGTGGAGTTAGAAGTTTATCTTTAGAGTAAATAGGGAACAATGAAAGGTTTTTAAGCAGCAGAGAAATATGAGTTGCATTGTAAGAAAGATCATATTGCCAGTAATGTAGGGGGAAAAATGGAGGCACAAAGTAAATTTAAAAAGCTGTTGTAATAATCTAGAGACATAGCAGTGGATTTAACTGGTGTAGTGACAGTGGGAAAGGAGAGAAGTTGACAGATTTGAAACTTATTAGGACCAACTTGTTCATCTTTCTGGCTGTCCAGGGTATCTATAAAGCTCTCTTCCAACACAGTATTTCAAATGAATCAATTTTTTTCCTATCAACCTTCTTTACTGTCCAGCTTTCACATCTGTACATAGTAATTGGAAATATGAGGGTGTGAATCTTAGTCTTGGTCTTTAATGACATATCTTTGCTCTTGATCTTTTCTAATTATTCCATTGCTCCCCTTCTGAGTCTCAGCCTTCTCGGCAATCTCCATTTGAATCAATGACTGAATCAAAATAAGCAAAATTTTTAATAATTTCAATGCTTCATTGTCTTTGTTTATTGTGTATTTCTTCTGTAGTTATAATTTTTGTCTTCTTGATGGTCTGATTCAGTCTTTCTGAGTGTTTATTGTGTATTTCTTCTGTGGTTATAATTTTTGTCTTCTTGATGGTCTGATTCAGTCTTTCAGAGTGGCACTCTTTACTGCACACAAATCAGGTTACTCATCATTTCTGCAATGTTTTGTTTCTCTTTACCTTTGCTTGTGATGGACTCTCTACAGGAAATGCTCTTTTGTCCCTTGCCTCTGTGTCCAAATTCTAGTCACCAAGGTCAAGCCTAAAATGCTAGCTACTCCATGTTTACTTCATGAATTCTTCACTAATTGCCATGACTGGAAGTATTCTCTCTTTTCTATGAACTTTAATAACATTTCATAATTTCCTTGACAGTATACTAGACTGAAATAATGCATGTGAAAGTTAAGTGCTAAACAAACAAAAATTACTATACCACTTTTTATTTAAATGATAGTTATTAATGTATATGCCTTATCTTCCTTCTGCAGACTCCTTAAGAGCAGAGACCTTTTACTTATACTCATTTATTTCTCCCATAGCTCCTGTCATAAAGTCTTGCAGGATTTAAAAAAAAAAAAAGTCCATTAAATTGAATTAAATTGTAGAGGCAAGAGGATTCAACTTACATAGAAATTACCACAATCCAGATTTCCTCACGGGAACATGTGCTTCCTTAAGGTCAAAGATTACTTTATTCATTTTAGTTTTATCTACATTAAATCACATTCTCCTGGTTTTCCTCTTACTTTATAGGTCGCTCATTCTCATTATTTTTAATGGATCCTCTTCCTCTTTGAGACCTCTAATGTTGGAAAACCACAGAACTAGTCCTTGAACCTCTTCTCTATATACATAAACATCCTAGGATATCTCATCCAGTGGAATGGCTTTAAATACCATCCATATGCTGATGACTCTCAAGTTTGTATCTCTAGCCCCAGCCTCTTAACTGAACTTCAGACTCATTAAGTTGCCAGCTTAACATCTCCAATTTGATAACTAATTGGCATCTGAAGCTCAATGTGCACAAAACAAAACTATTAGTTACTTTATACCCCAATCCTATTTTCACTCTAGTCTCCCCCTGCTCCCAGAAACTTGCAACATCATTTATCCTCATTACTCAAGACCCAAATCTAAGAGTCAGCATTGATTTCATTCTTTCAAACCATATATACAAACCATACTTAAATCATGACAGTACTACCTTAGAGTTAAATTCCAAGTCAAATCATTTCTCCCCACCTCCACTGCTGCCACCTTGTCCAAGTAACAATCATCTTTTGCCTGGACTATTACAAAAATCTCCCAATTGGCTAATTGGGCAATCTTCCTTCCTGCCTTCAGACAATTCTCCACGTAGCAGCCAGAGTGATCTTAAATAGAGAATCAAATTATGTCACTCCCATGTTCTAAACCTCCAATGTCTTCACATCTCATTTCACATCTAAATAACTGATGATATTTAGAATAACATCAAAATTACCTTGGTCACAAGGCCACACACAATATGGTTCCTATCTTCCTCTGACTGTATCCTCTACCTCTTTATACTTTACTGCAGTCCTGTCATACTGTCCTTCTTGCTTTTTCTCAATATACCATTACTTTCTCAAGGCCTTTGTACTCTCTAGGATCTTGACAGAGGTAACCTTGCATTCAGGTATAGCAGATTTTTCATCTTTGTTTTCCGACATCTGACTTAGTGAATGGCATATAGTGGAACTCAATGATGTATTTTGATAAACAATGGCTCCCTTAAAAAATGGTGATATAAAAAAAAAAAATTGGAGAATTTAGCCAACCAGAGGGTTAGAATATAAGCCTACATTGTGATATAGTTGCCAAAAACATCTAATGTTACCTAAGGTTGTATTAACAGATGTGTATTCTTTAGAGAAAGGCAGATCCTAGTTCTTCTAATCTGACCACTTCTGGAATGTTGTATTTGGCTCTAAGTATCACATATTAAGAGGAATTCTGATCCACTGCTGCATTTCAGACATAGGATATTTTACAGAAAAGGAAAACAGAGTGGTAAAAGGACTGGACCTTGCCCTGTGAGGAACCATTAAAGGAACTGAGAATCTTTGACTTGATGAATATTTACTTGGTGATTGGGAAGGAGAAGTGAAAGCTCTCCCCAAATAGCAAAGAGTTTACCACATGGGAAGAGGGGATTATGTTTATTTTTGTTAGCTAGAAAGAAAAGAACCAATGGTAGGAAGTTTCAGAGAAGAAGTTTTAGTTCAGCATAAGTAAGAATTGCCTACTAGTTTTTACCAAACCAGTGTTCTGCAGAATACTATACCATGTTAGGCTATTCAAAGTGTCTTATATCTTTACTGCAGGATTTCTAAGAATCTTTTATATGCATGTATTAAGAAGAAGATATAATATGCCTCATTCTCAAAATTTGTCTATAGAAACTTTTATTCATAGAGCACTGTTAATATCTCTTAAAACAATATATCATAGAACAGATTGAGTTAATGTTGCTCAAAAAAATGAACAGAATATCTTCTGAAGGAGTAGGGTAAGGTTTGCATCGAGATATCTGGGAAAACTGGATAGTGATACTGTCACTTCAGTACTCTGAAACCTTGGTCACTAAACCAAAGCATATAATGTTTGGGAAACTGGAGTAAGTTCTCTTACTCGTTATGTCTACAGTGTGAGATGCAACACTGTTCTAAATGAAAGTAATGGAGAAAATCCAATGAAAATGAGACTTTCTAGTATAGTGGTTCTGAACTTTTTTCCTTAGTAACTCACCAGAGTAATGACATTCCCATGTCTGTCCACAGATTCATTTATTGTGTGTGCAAGGTGATGTTTCTCATCTTTTTCATGAATGCAGAAATAAACAATAAATCTCATATTCTCCCACTCCTCCTTTCTTCCACAGATTTTGATAGGATCTTTATATGGAACCATACCCCTCCATTGAGCATCACCATTTTAGAAGCTCAAACCTAGAGTATTAATATAACTTTTTTTTAATAAACAAGAAATTCCCAGTCCTCATTGAAGAAATGGCATTTCAAATTGTGGAAAAGTAAAGCAAGAAAAATTATCAAAATGGAGCCACTTCTTAGAGGCTGAAGGAAATAATAATAGTCATAAAAATTTTGCTGTTATTAAATACTTGTTGTAATAAGCAAGACATGACATAATAATGAGAAAAGGCTGTCTCAACAACAATGAAAAGACAGGGTTTCGAAATTATAATTAGTGTCTTTATAATTGTCCATAGAAGGGCATAAGCCAGAGCTGAAATATTATAGTCCCTAAGAAGAATGTGCATTATAGAAAAATGGTTCATCAAGATTTCTAAAATTTATATCTTTTCCTATTTTCCAGAACCATGTTTACCAATGTTTATTATCTTTAATTTGATTTCCAATGATCTATCAGTACTGAGAAAGGGGTGTTTGGGTTAGTAGATAAAATACTGTAACTATCAAAAAGATATAGCTTCTCCTGTGTGTTAATAAAATGGCATTCTGTATCCTACTATCTGTACTGAAAAATTTACTAAGTAAACTTGGGTAGCTGATAAGCCAGCCCCTGGACCAGATCACACCAGATGTACCAATTCTTGAGGTCCTTGTGATTAATACAATTATATCGCTTATGAAGAAACTTGAAATACCATTTCTCAGTTATTTTGCAAGTTTGCCCCTAAATCAGGACCTTAGATGGTGAGGTTATCAGTTCTAAATAGCAGTTTAAGTAATTCTCACGTAACTTTGCATATCTACAGAGACTAATCTCAATTATACATTTGTGTTTTTCATGGCCATTTGGACTACATAAAGTTTACAGAGTTCACTGATAGATGAGAAGAACAAAATCCAAGAACAGAGTCAGGAATTTGGGTCTGGGCAGAGTCCTAGGAGCCATTAGAACTTTGTGTTCTTGGTCTCCAAGTTGATCATGTTCTCTTGGATATGGAGAATTTGCTTATCTGCTGGCTCCTGAATATCTTCTGGCTTTAGAGGAACATAGTAGTAACCCATGATGGAGAAGATCAGGCAGACCACCAGTAGGAGGCAGGAAAACAAAAGGAATTCAGCCCACTGCAGGAAGAAATAAATATAAGAAAAAAATATGGACATACCTGAAATTAAAGAGCCCTTCAAAGGATGAGTACTAGGGAGCAGTTGACCCAGGGTCACCATTTAGGCAGAGGTTTGCTAAAAGAAGACTGGATTCACTGACCTCTCTTCACATGGCCCTATGGTGGTCATTGCTGACATTTACATATTTCCCTGGCAAAATCTGTGTGTATCTAACCCATCTCACATGGAGAATGTGGAAGGCTGAGGTATGGAGGAAAAGGGAGAAGAGGAATTTGGAGGGGAAACCTTGGATGGCCACAAGCTCTTGTTTCTCTCAGATGCATACCTGTACCAGGCCACTGAATTGTGCCACAGCAAACACGATGAAATTCCCAACTCCAATTGTCAACAACCAGGCTGCCTGGAGTACAGACTTCATGCTAGAGGGAGCCTAGAGAAGACACAAATCTGTGAGTAAACAAACTCCCTACACTACCCTCATGCCCCATGCATCTACCCAGTAAACTTCCACAAAAGTTTCTAGATTCGAACTTCCCTAAATTCAGCTATCACATTGATTCAGGATGTTATAATGTTAACAGCAATAATAGGATGGAGCTCTTAATCAAACATTTTAAATCATTATATCACATAATCTTCATTACAACTCTGATAAGTTCTATTGGCATTCTTATTTTATACATAAAGAAAAATAGCATTAGAGAAGTGATAATTTACTTGCTCAAGGTTACGCCGTAGGTTGTGCAGCCAAAATTTGAACATAGGCAGTTTGACTCCAGGGCCCTTACTCTCAATTTTTAAGTATCCTTTTCTAGATCTCAAAGAGCATAGGCTACTATGTTGCACTGTTATGATCCTGGGAATCAAGATGACTCTCTATTCAGAGTCATGTGTAAGGAATCTAAGGCCAAAAAATATGAAGGTCTTGGTCAGGGTCACAAGCCTATTTAAGGCAGTGCCAGGATTAAAATTCACCATCCTCTAAGCAGTACCTCCACCTCCACTTCCCATTTACAAAATCCTACCTGAGAATAAGAAAACTCAAGTCCTGTAACAGAGAACATGACCTCTCCAGCTGTAACCAGGGCATATTGTGGTAGCTGCCATACAATGGATATTTTGTTGGTCAGGATGCTTTCCATCTTCCAAGCCTGAAGACCCTGACTGGTGCTCTTAATGACAGAAAGAAGAAATAAGTTTATCAGTAGTCTGAAGTAAATATTTTTAACCTATAGTGTTCTATGGCCTTATATCCATCCCTTCTTTATATTTTCATCCTTTTGCTACCTTCAAGACATTGCACAATTTCTACACAATTTCAATATTTTGAAGTTCTTTTTGGTAACACTGTACTTACCTGCCTGGCTTCAAACACCATTATTGACAAAGTCCCTAAATGGCAGAATAGTTTGATATTGTAGTTTGGATTCCTACCATTCTGATCTATTGCATATTTGTATCCTGACCAACATTTAAATATAACACAGCATCTGAATTATACAAACACAATGAATTTTTAGAAAACATGTTCTTGAGAAAAGTCTAATTCCTTGTCCAATTTTCTATGTAAGTATAATTAAATTGTTTTTAACATCGTCCATTAAAATTTTTATTTTACTAAAATTACTTTTATCAGAATGAATTATTTTCTTGATAACTCTTACATTGAAAATTTTGTTGATAATTTTTTAAAAATCTATATCAAATACCACCTGCTATATTGAATTCTGTTTACTAGCCATTATTTTTTAGCTTAAATTTTACATACTCAAATACTTTAAAAAGATGTAATTTTTCTATAAATTTTGGTCATAAGGAAATTTTAGGATCAATTTTTTTAATATTACAAAATATACATGATTCTACAATCTTGTTTTAGTCTAAAACTACTTTTACTATATGTAGGTTTTTAGCTACGGTTGGTTTTATATAGATTGTGTCTACTAATATGTGTTTTAAATGGAACAAAAATTTTAAAATTATATATATTTCTTGGAATAAAATCATTCTTATGTAGTAGGTATAATATATGGATACATGAGATAAAAATGGCAGAGTTAAAACATCAAGGTCAAATGTCTTTGAAATAAAAAGTCCTTGATATTTAAATGCAGTTGATTCTCTGAGTCAAAGAGCCACTGGGTTCAATAGCAATGTAAAATTTTGCTTTAGTTGATACTGTGAAAAATACCTGGACATATATTTGGGTTTTCTCAGCCTGAGAAAAATGACTTCAGCTTCTAAATCAAGATCATATATTCAAATATCCATAGGCAGGTAATTAAGTAAATAAAGTCGGCTGAATGTAAATGAGTGGGCTATGGTGAACTAGACACACAGGCCCCTTCTAGAGGGTACAACTATTACAGCATCAGTTAGCTGACATGGTACATGTCCTGATACAAATCTTCTGATATTGTTTTTAAGAAATGTTATATATTCAGCTTCTGAGGTGAAATCTCTTAAATGTTAAACAGTCAATAATAATTGTTATTATTATTGACAATATGGTACAGACCAAGAAAAATAGAACGATGGAAGGAACTGGGGTCCCAGGTCTCCAATTTATGATCTCTCATCTAGATGTGTATTAGACCCTAGCATTCAGAAACAATATATATGGCCTCTATCTTAAGCAGCATGTAAAAGACAGAACAAACAATAAATGGAATAACACCAGAAATGCAAGTGTTATGGGTTGAATTTTGACTCTCTAAAGCTCGTATGTTGGATCCTAACCCCCAGTAACTGAAAATGTGAACTTATTTGGAAATAGAGTTTTTGCAGAAAGATTAGTCAAGTTAAAATGAGGTCATTAGGGTGGACCCTAATTCAATACAACTGGTGTTCTTATAAAAAAGGACAAATATGCACATGGAGATCTTCTCATATAGTCAAGCATATAGGGAGAACTCCATATGAAAATGAAGGCAGAGATTGGGGCGATCTTCTAAACACTTAGGAACACCAAATATTGCCAGAAACCCACCAGAAGCTACAAGAAGGTCATGGAAGATTCTTCCTCATAAGAAACCAACAGCCCTCATAAGAAACCAACTCTACTAACACCTTGATCTTAGGCTTTTAGCCTTCATGACTGTAAGATAATAAATTTCTCTTCTTTAAGCCACTCAGCTTCTGGCACTTTGTTACAATAGCCCTAGAAAACTAATACAGCTAATTGGTTTAACATCTGAAAATCAACTTATACCACATCAGTGGAATAAAGGACAAGACCACATAATTATCTCAATAGACACAGAAAAAACATTTGACGAAATACAATCCCCTTCATGGTAAAAATTAAAAATTAAAGAATTAAAAATCCCAACAAACTAGGAATAGATGGGAATGTAACCTGATAAATCACACCTATGAAAAGCCCACAGCTAACATACTTAATAATAAAAGACTGAATGTTTTCCCCCTAAGAGGATGTCTGCTCTTACTACTTCTATTCAACATTGTATTGAAGGCAATTAGTCAAAAAAAATTTTTTTAATAAAAAAAGAAAGAGAAAAAGCCATCCATATTGAAACGGAAGAAGTAAAGCTATCTCTTTGCAAATGACACAATCTTGTAGGTAGAAAGTCCTAAGGGATCCACTAAAAGAAATTATTAGAACTAATAAATGAGTTGAGTAAGGTTGCAGGATACAAGATCAATATATAAAATCAATTGTATTTCTACACACTTGCAATGAAGAATCTGCAAATGAAATTAGGAAAAAGATTCCATTAATAACAGCATCATAAAAGAATAAAATACTTACGAATAAATTTAATAAAATTAAAGTAAAACCTATACTCTTAAAGTTACAAAACATTGTTGAAAAATATGTAGGTCTTAAAGACCTAAGGAGTAGAAATACTTCTCAAAATCACCTACAGATTTAAAGAAATCCTTATCAAATTCCTAACTAGGCTTCCATTCCTAAGCTGATCAAAAAATTCATATGGAAATTCATGGAACCCAGAATATCTAAATCAATCTTAAAAATGAACAAGAACTCACACTTCCTGATTTCAAAATTTATTACAAAGTAACAGTAGTCAAGACAGTGTGGTACTGGCACAAGGATAGTCATATAGATCAATGGGATAGAACTGAGAACCCAGAAACAAGCCTTCCCACTTATGGTCAATTGTTTTTTGAAAAGAGTGCCAAGATCATTTAATAGGGAAAAAATAGTCTTTTCAACAAATTGCGCTGGAACAACTGGATATTTACTTACAAAAGAATGAAGTTAACCACCTACCTCACACCATATACAAAATTAACTCAACATGGATTAAAGACCAAAATGTAAGAGCTAAAACTATAAAATTCTTAGGAGAAAACATAGGCAGAAATCCTCGTGACCTTGGATTGGGCAATGGATATGATGCCTAAATCACAAGCAATGAAAGAAAAAAAATAGACAAATTGAACATTAGAAAAATTACAAGTGTTTGTGCTTCATTGGACATGACCAAGGAAGTTAAAAAGACAAACTATCAAACGGAAGAAAATATTTGCAAATATATATCTGATAACAAACATATCTGAAATATATGAGGAATGCTTAAAACTGAATAATAAAAAGACAATCCAATTAGAAATTAGGGAAAGGATCTGAATAGACATTTCTTCAAAGCATATAAACAAATGGCTAACAAGTATATGAAAAGATGCTCAATATCATTAGTCATCAGGAAAATAATAATTAAAACCATAATCAGATAACATTTCATACCTTGTAGGATGGCTATAATTAAAAAGACAGAAAAACAAGTGTTACTGAGGATGTGGAGAAATTGCAACCTTTCATATACCATTGCTGGGAATGTAAAATGGTATATTTGCTTTGGAAAAGACTAGCAGTTCCTCGAATGGTTAAACATAGAATTACCATGTGACTCCACAAATAGTTCCACTCCTGGGTATATTGCCCCTCAAATGAAAACATATATCTAAACAAAAATTTGCACATGAATGTTCATAACAACATTGTTTATAATAGTCAAAAGATGGAAACAATCCAAACTGATAAACAGATAAACAAAATGTGTTATATTTATTCAATGGAATATTATTTGGCAATAAAAAGAAATTAAGTATTGATATGTACTACAACATGGATGAGCCTTGAAAAGTATGCTAAATGAAATACATATTGTATCGTTCCATATACATGAAATGTCCAGAATAGGCAAATTTATGGAGACAGGAAGTAGAAAAGTAGTTGTCTAGGGCTAGAGGGTTTAGGAAGAAATGGGGAGTGATTGCTAATGTGTTTGGGGATTCTTTTTGGAACAATAACAAGTTGCACAATTCTGTGAATATATTAAAACCTATTGAATATATATTATTGAAAAATATTCTCTATATAGTAAATATAGATCTATCTATATATATCGAATATGTTAATATCTTTAAAACCATTATACATTTTAAATGGGTGAATTGTATGGTATATCTCTATTAAGCTGTAATAAAAACAGCATACCAAATATTTAGGTTATCAAATCAATTAATTAAATAAATAAAACTCTACAGATTATTCTAATCATACTTTAGAAATGTTCCATCTTTTTATTATTCAACTATTTTTTATATTTAATACAATATCAAAAGTAATTAAATAAAATTAGAATCGAGATTGACATCAAGGGACAGTGACGTGGGAAGCACAGTGGTGTGAGGAGTCCCTTTGATCTCTCCCCTTGAAATTACAACACGTCGAACAGCTATAATCCAAAAAGGATTTCTAGTCTAACAAACATGTCTGAGAGATCTGCACTTTGAAACATCTGAAGGCAGGAGAATCTAGGCAAACAGGGGAATAGGGAAGGAAGAAGAACAGAGACAGGTGCTGCAGTCCCAGCCTGGAGCTCACTGTAAGAAAAAGGGAGAGGGGAAGAATCAGGTTGCTGCATGCCCCACACATTCCTGCCTGAGTGATCAGCATACACTACAGCTGAACCCAGTGATCTATCGATCTATTGGGGCACAGACCAGAATACAGAAGTGTGACAGCTGTGTTCTAGCAGCCATCACTGCCAGGCAGAAAACAAAGCCACTAAACCTGGCCACCTCTCTTCACTCTCCCCAAACTTGCCTCCCTGCATCCTCCCAGAGCTAGCAGCGGGCCCCAGGAAAAAAACTATATCGGCGAGTGTTGGACTGCAAT